AAAATATCTCCATACATTGCCTAATGCCCCCTGTGGGAGGGACAAAATCAACCTGGGTGAGAAGCACTGTGCTGGTACGTTATTAAAATCTTTTAGATCTAACTTTTCTGGAATACATCTACTTTCAAAATAAATTATTGTCTATTCTTTCAGTCTTGATTCAAAACTTGTGCACTTTGCTAACCCCCAGGGTGGTTTCAATGTTGCGTCCAGCCACTCTGCAGTTTACGTATTTCTCAATTTAATATCTTTCTTCCTTTAGCCACTCCTTAGCTGTAAAAATGTCTAATGCACATGGTGGCTTAGGGTAGGGAGATAATAAATATTGTTTGTTTTCTTTCTTCATCTTGTGTTTCCTTCCTCTATCAATTCCTCAGATTGCAACGGATTTTCTAGCCTAGTGGCAATTCTGTAATTCCCGCTCCTTGGTTTTTGAATTAATTGCATATTCATGAATCCTGGGGATTGACTTTGACTTTTCCTGAATCTTTTTATAAACTTCGGTAATGTCAAACTGACTTGAAAACATCATTTATGTACTTTTTTTCAGAGTCCTGCTAGGTATTAAGTGCGGATTATAAAACTTCAGTTCAGTACAAAAGTATCCTGCTTTTGCCTGCTTACTACACACACACGCACACACGCGTGTGCAGGGACACACTCTGGAGGGATATGTTCCAGGCTGGTAGTAATTCTATGTTTCCTCCTTTTGCTCATTTATACTTTCTAGTTTTTCCTACAATAAGCATCTGTTGCTTGTTTAATTAAAAAAGAAAAAATGCTTTAGAAAGTCATTTTTGGGGCTGGCCCGGTGGCATAGCGGTTAAGTTTGTGCACTAGGCTTCGGTAGCCTGGGGTTCGTGGGTTTGGATCCCGGGAGTGGACCTACGCACTGCTTGTCAAGCCATGCTGTGGCAGCGTCCCACATACAAAATAGAGGAAGATGGGCACAGATGTTAGCCCAGGGCCAATCTTCCTCAGCAAAAAGAGGAGGATTGGCAACAGATGTTAGCTCAGGGCTAATCTTCCACACACACACACACAAAAGTCATTCTTAAGCTTTCCGTAAAATCAGTGCAAGATTTGAAACTGGTGTTGTTAATGGTGACACTGGTGTTGTTAACAGTAACAAGAGTTTTGTGTGAAATGACACTTATTTTTGGAAGACACTGTGACAACTGAGTCACTCATCATATTTTAGGGAAAAGGATGAAACAAGAAACCCCAAAGGAACAGGTGAAGATTTGCTAGGCAGATTTCTGTCTTGTACTGAAAGTTTTTTGGGTCAAGATATATGTACGTGCATGAGCTCAGATGGAACTTTCCCGAGCTCTGGAGGGGCTGAATTTAGCAGTGAGCTAAGGCTCTGGGTCACTCAGCGAGTCATCCAGCAGAGAATGCCTAGTGTATCTGGGGCTTTGTAAATTGAAAAGACGTCCAGTAAGCACACTGTGTTCCTAGAGCTCGCCTGTCTCCAAGCGGCTCGACAATACCAAGCACTTCTGAACATCACGAGCTGCTGAGCTGGCTCACAGGCAACAGCCTCCAGGGCCTAACGCATCACAGCTCACGGGCAGGCTCATGTCAGTTAATGTCAGTTAAAACATGTCAATAACTGAAGTGATATCCTCAGTGATTACTGTGTGCTTTAGAAATCAAAGTTAGCTTTCGTCAGGGAAACTCTGTTGGGCTGGACTGAGCGTGCATCTCTTTCTTGTCATCCTGTGCACAGCAAGATGCTGTTATGGATGGCTGACTGTTCATATGGCAGTTTCTAAGAATGGTGGGGAAAGAAGGAGGTAAATGGATGTAGCTGTTTAACTCTGAGTGCACAGTTTGATCAACGGTGTGTTTAGCACCAAGCTTGGGGGGTTTAGAACAAAGAATACAGGCATGGGAGAGAGACACATCAAATTCTGAATCTAATTTCTGTCACATTTTTTTTGGTGAGGAAAATTAGCCCTGAGCTAACAGCTGTT